AGGGTCGCACGGAGATGCGAAAGCAAGGGCTCCGCAGTGTTGCTCAGCATAGAGAACGCGTGGTTGCTGGTGTAGCTACCGCGCGAGAAATACCGCAGTAGTTTCTGGCTGGAGCACGTCGTTAGGTCTTGCCGGACACGCCGCGGAGGGCTCTCCGAAGTGCTGCCGGAAACGATGGCTCTATCCCTCTCCTCTCCCAGCGCTCCAATGCTGAGTGCAGAGACGGACCCACGAGTGTGATGTCAAGCGTGAGTTGCGCCCCGTGCACATCATATCAGCGAAAGAGACGGTGCGTGCAACTCGCGCCCCGCCTTCCCGGCCTTTCTGTGGGCGACCGCATGCTCGAGCGGAAGGGCTATGGGCGGCTGTTGTATTTTTACACACATGTTTTTGCTGGCGTCCCAACGTAGGCGGTCCCCGTGCCCACCCAAGTCCAGGCCGACGGCGCGCTACATTGTGTAGGGCACGCGGCGGGCAAGAGGCGACTCAAGAAGGAACACGCTCAGCAGCGGTGATTCTCCATCGACATTGGCGGTGCCGCGACGGGGCAAGCAAAGGAGATGAGAGGAAAGGCGCGGGCAGCCGCGACGGAGAGCAAGGCTGACCAACGAGCGACAAAGGCCGAAATCCTGGGACCGCGGCAAGAAACCGGCACGGCCCTCGCCAGGAAGCGAGCAAGAAGTTTGACAAAGGTGGCAACTTCAGTGCTCCAGCGGCCGCCGAGCTCGAGAGCGAGGACGACTAGCTTGCATCTAGGTGCGCTCCTTGGCTATGCGCGCGAATGCAAGCGCACCGCCGGCAGTGCGACCGACAGCTTTGCGGGGGGCACCAGCGACACCCGCGTAGTGTCGACTGCGAGTTGCGAGCCACCCCAAAGCGCAAGTCCATTTGCAATGACTTCGATGCGGCACTCATCCTGCCGGGCGACATCAACGTTGCGATCGCGAAGCCGCACGTTGAGGGCAACGGTGGCTCCTGACCGAGGACATGCTGCGAGGTGGTCACCGTAAATGTCACGCAGTTGCCGGCAGCGGCAGCGCACTGGCAGCGCGCAGAAGTCAAGGGCAGGGGCAGGCGAAGCCGGCGGAGGAGACACGGAAGAGCGGCGAGTTGAGGGACAGCTCAGGCGAGACCGGTCTGGTGGTGAAGACACTCTCGGCACGAGGGCCCGACTGCGAGTCCAACATAGCAAGGCTTGGGGCATCAAGATCACGGCGAAAGGCACGGTGGCAAAACTTGTTAAGTGTGCGTGAAGCCGGGCGCTGCCACCCACGTGTAAGGTCGGCGAGGTCGTCCTCAAGCGACACAGCAGGCACCGCCAAGAGCACAGCTTCCCACCTGGGGGCCTGAAAGCCTGCAGTTTGCAGGGACGCCGCTCGGCTCTTCGTGCAGCCTGCGGTTGCAAGGCAGAAAGAGGCTTGTCCTTGAAGGACCAACAGTTGTGCTCAGAATGTGAAACATGCTCTATATGCTCCAGCTCGCTTTCCAGCCGGTGAGCGGAGGTCCCGCAGGACGAGCGCTGGCTCGACGCCAGCCGCCTCCCGGCACCGACTCAGCCACACACGCGAGCCGTAGCCTGCAGGTGCACGTATGGTCGTCGAGAGGATCAGTGTGTCCACAGCAGGCGCACGTACGCGGGGTGACCGGCAGTGGCAGGCGGAGCCGCGCAGCAGCAGAACATGGCAAAACAGCGACGGCCGTTTAACGGGGGTTTCGAAGACCGTGAAGGCCCGTGCTGCGTGCGGCCCGATCTGCGACAGCAGCAGTGCTTGAGATGCGGCATCAGTGTGAGAAGGATGCAATTTCGGCGTGCGTTTGTTATTGGTGAGGGCCTCGATGCTGCTGCCAACCTCGCAGAAAGTCACCAAACACACGTTGCTCGCGCACGGGCGGCGGCAGTAGCAGGAAGCGCCGTAGCCCTGCTCGCACAGGAAGGCGGTTGCGCTCCGTGCCGTGCCGTGCTGCTGCAGGACGCACAGCGGATCACAGCGGTTTCAGTCGAGGACTGCAGCGCGTTGACCAAACGAGCCGCTGCCAGTGTCGCCCGTGCTCGAAGCAAGCAGTCCGCCTATAGGACACCCAACAGGCGGCGGGAGCGGCATCGACTGCCGAGCGCGCCCAAATCGCAAGGAGAGATTGCGCGAGGCGCTGTGAATGCTCAGGCAGCGGGCGTCGGGAGCTTGCCAGGCATGTGCGCATCATGCTCGCGCGCAATGCTTCCGGCGCTCCAGGGGTCGGCATCCGAAGCAGGTGGTTTGTGCAGGTGGTGAAGCACGAAAGAGCAGGAGGAGCCACGCGCAGACGGTGGGCAAACATGTGAGCAGCCGATCCTGCATCTCACGCTTGTGGCGCCGCTCCCGTTGCACAAAGGCTTCACTCCCAAGCGGTGCGCCCAGCACCAGCAGCCCTTGCTGGTCCGCAGGCGCCCGTCAAGACTGGTTCTGCACCGACTGGTTGGAGCTGGACAAGGCCACCGGGCTCCTCGCCGGCAGCGGGTGTGTTGCCCCTTGGTTCATGTGTATGCGCGCATGGCGCCACAGCGCGTCCTGCAGCTCACCGGTGGTTCAGGCGCTGACACGACATAAGATTGCCTCTCCCTCGTGCCGCCGCTGCGGCATGCTGGGGCAAGGAAAAAAGTGCCGGCAATAGCGAGTCCCCTTGCTCGCCTTCTTCGCGTTGCGTCACGTCATGTTCAGAAGTTCAGCGCCGTTCCGGTCAAGCCAGGTGTAGACGCTGGCACTGCCAAAAAATTGGCGGGCAAAGCGGAGGAGGGGCGCGAGGCCTAGGCGAAGCCGAAGACCCTCCCGCATGGCTTGGCGCGATACATGATCGTAGGCGTGCAAGGCCGTGGCCGATCGTGGCCGTCCGGAGGAATTTGTAGAGGCCCTCCACGCCTGCCCTCGTGCTCAACCCAAACAAAACTTGTACGGGAGGCAAGCAGGCGCCTGAAGACGTGACCTACAACCAGTGCCCGCATGCGGCCACTAGGCCTGCACAGGCGCAGCCGCAAACACTGCGAATGTCAGTTGTAACAAGGTGCAGGCGCAGCCGCAAACACTGCGAATGTCAGTTGTAACAAGGTGCGGTCGCAAAACTACGGTAAGAGCACGGCTGCAAGCGAGGTTGTGCCTAAAGGCGGCGGAAATGTATGCAGTTCAAGTAAGGCCTCAAGTTGAAACGATACCTGCGAGTCAAGCCTGCAGGGAGCTATACCAGCTAGTAGTCTCTATCCAGCAGTGCGTGCAGAAGGACTTGGCGCAAGCCCTGCAAAGAAACATTCACACCAATTCCAGACAGCTTCCAACTGTCCATCCCTTGTACCGTCGCGTGCTAAAAATCCTCATTGACCGCATTTCTGCCCATCTGTCGTCTGGCTCTGAGGCGCCCTTTCGGAATGTCACAGAAGCTGCAAGCCTCCTGCTCCCTCGGGCAAAGCCGTGGCGGTAGTTTCAAGCGAAGACCACAGGGGTAGCATCAAGCAAGACCACAGTTTTGGCACGGGTCAGAATCATAAGGCACCAGAGATCATGCGACTAAAACTTTACCACCAGGTCTTCGCTTTGATAGATGCTTCGACATCGCACTCACATGACTTGTAGACGAAGATGTACCTGTCACAGCTCAGCTCGCTGTATTTTCAAGTCATGCAGTGCTCTGTGCCAGGGTCACATGAGGAGGCATGGTACTCCGGCGGGCCAAGCCTGAGGGTCAATCCACGGTCTAGACCCTTCCAGAAACAGATATAAATCCGCCCACATTCATGAGCACGACTTGTGCTGTTCCTCCTTTACTCAGGACTTGCGCAACTCAGAGAACTGCCAAGGATGACAGGCGCCAGTACCAGCGGGCTGGAGCGTTCCAGAACCTCCAGGGAAGCTGCATGGAGGTGCAAAACAGCTGGAAGGAAAACATCTCAGAGTGCGACCACTGCCACATGATCTTCTGTTGAAGGTGGGAGAAAGTCTGCTTGATCTGTCAATAGTTGCAAGCACGGCACTCCGGCACAGACGGCTCGAAACGACAGTGCTGCACAGCAAAGCCAGCACAGCGCGATGCCTCTCCACCAGGCACCTCAAAGAGGAAAGACTTGATGCCCTCGGAAGATTTGACCCGGGGCTGAGACCTGGGATCGGTTTGCCCACCAGATGTGCGCCTGCCGAGTGGATTGGATGGTGGGTTTTCCGTCTTTGCTGTTCTTCGAATGTGCAAAACCGGAAACAAAATCATTCGAGCCTCAGGCGGGACCGGGTAGCTGCCGAGACGAAGTTGATCCTGCGAAAGTAATGTCTTGCAACCACGGATGGCGTTGACGTAGTAGCCTTTCTCATGTCATGCAGCCTACGCATGATTCCGCCGTTTACACTTGAACATACTTGAGCACTTCATCCAGGACGGTCCCGTGCGCTTGTCTTTCTCAGCGAGAGCAGCTCTGATGTGCGCGCCACAGCTCGACGCAGGGACCTCACATTCGGATTTCGGAAATCGTTTCGAGCCTGGGGGACGAAGGACCACAGCATGCCAAGAAGCATATTGAAAGTATGGCTTCAGCCACACAAGGTTGCTGAACTATGATGGGTGTGCTCTGAGCCAAGGTGGTAACCCTCGCTGGTTGGCAACATGATTTGCCAGTGCCCGTGCCATAAAGTCTTCAGAACTTGATGAGCGCCGATCTCCTGACTTTGGATGCGCGACTCCTAGCTGTTTTGACGGGCCTGTGTCTCGCCTCAAGGTTTCTGCATCACAACAGCAAGCCGAGTGTTTACAGCTGCTGACTTCCGAAATTGCACATGCTTCTGGGCATGAGAAACACATGCCTGTACATTAGCGTTGCCTCCTTCGTGCCCTAGCCTGTGGCAGTTAGAAGAAGGATCCACCGAACATCTTGTTCAGGAACTTGTTTTTACAGTCCCTTATTGCGGGGCATCCGGGCATCGTGGGCTTTTGCCTTTGTCCCACATGGCCGGAGCAAGCAGCGCGCTTGCAGCCCAATTCTTTGCTTGTCAGGCCTGCAAAAGACTCTTGGACAGGCTGGAGAGAGGCCGCACGCTGCCAGCATGTACCAAAACGTGCCCCAACGGAACATGCCAAGCTTTGGACGAACATCTTCTTGCGCCGTCGTGCAGCAGCTGCACTGGGTTTGGCCTGGGCAGGAGTAGCTGAAAGGCGGTGTGTGGTCCGGTTCCGTTGCAGGCACGCAAACATATCACCGAAGGATCGCACTGCATCCTCCTCATCAACACCAGTTCGGGCGATCCTGGCCTGACAGTTTTGACAGAGCTTGATCTATGCACGTGCAATCAGAGGGCTCTGTTGGTCCTGCATCCGCTCTGCCATTCGTGCTTCCAGAGCCTCTGTTCAAACATGCTCACACTCTGCTTGTCTTGCCCGGGGCCAGCAACTACTTCTCCGACCTCGGTGTCCTTTTGCAGAGACTGAAGTTCCTGAAGTAAGTCAGCACCCGCGAGCACCTTGTCCCTGCAAGAGCAAGAAACCTAGACAAATGGTGCAAACGGGCTGCAACGGTCGGCCTAGCTTCTCCAGAGCGCTTCGGCTTGGAACGGCTCGTTGGACTTTCCGAGGCTTCTTGAAACCTGAGTACGTCTCAGAACCAAGCATCGACTGTCGCCTCGCCAGCCCTGTGAGGTGTGCACTCCTCACGAAGCTGTGCATCCACCTGTCCGGAATGTTCCATCCGCAGCCAACACTTCGTGCCTGCTGGATACCTGAAGTTCCACAATTCTTAAGTCATCCTGTCGATGCATGGAAAACGTGTGCAACTCCGACAAACAGCGTGCGTGTGTCTTGGTCCGGCGTTGCAGCTTAGCATGATGTGGCGTGTTCGCTCTCCTGGCAATCCTTCTGCAGGATGTGGCAGGGCGCTGCTTGTCCAGTATTGAGGAGAGGGCCCCTCTCCCTTTGCGCTGTGCATTGCGCAGTCTGCGGCCGTAAGAAGCACTCGAAGGTCACAGCAAATCAAGCAACCGGTCCCTTCGATTGCCGCCACGCCACGTGCTTGGTACTTTTCGGTTCGCAGTTCAAGGACATGGGTTGCTTGCAATTTAAACTCGACTGACGCGTGGGCAAAAAAACTCAAAGCCTCCATCTGAACATACATAACTGGCAGTAGCTTCACAACACATGCGGCTCCCAAAGGGTGCTGCACACAGCTGCCTTCTTGTCTTCTTCCTGACAGAACACGTTCGGAAATATTCCTTATCTCAAGCTCCCCACAACTCTGTCTGCGGACCTGCTGCCCTTCGAGACCAGCGGTCTGGCTTGCCTGGCTGCTTTCCACGCGTCCAAAGCCGGGAATCGCTTGCGTCAAACCCGCTCAAGGCTGAGGGATGACCATCAGACAAGGAACCATGCGGGAGTGGCCTAGAGACGGAGAAAGAGAGAGACGAGAGAGGCAGAGAGAGGCAGAGAGAGGGAGAGAGAGAGAGAGAGAGTGTTGCGTGGGAGTCGCACACACTGCGCCTCTGCCTCGGCTGCCGGCTTCGCTTCTGCAGGCCTCGGCCGAGTATCGTCTGCTTACTCGTCTGCTTTGGGCTTTGGAAACCGGCTTCCAAGGTCGACGCTTCATCTCGTCCTCGTGCTCTTTGTCCTCACCTCCACCTTTCGCCTGCCAGCGGGTGCCGACTCCAGTACTTTACACCAGTTCAGGGACATCACAATGCGTTGCAAGTACTCAGGTCCGGGCTGCTTGACCACCACCTTTCTTCTTACGCTTCTTCTTCGCCTCTTGGCCATGCTCAGTTGGCAACACAGCCGCTTGACCGAGATGGATATCGGTCTCGGGGCTGCCCTTGTCCGCCTCCGTCTGGTTTTCTCGCTCGCCTGGAAGATCCCAAATGATTGAAACATACTATGACTCACTGTGACCATCATAGCCGCAGAAATGTGCAAGGGTGCCTTGCTTGGAGGAAGCGACTTGCCTTGCTGCCACACGGTAACGGAAACTAGAATCACTCGGTGAGAACCGGCAAGCCTGCTTTGCGACTGGCTTTTCGGATCCCCAGAGATCGCCTGCAAAGATGGGACCCCGCGACCACGACACCAGCGCTTGTCAGCGCCCGCAGATTCCCCAGTCTGTTGGCTTGCAGGTACAAGTAGTTGATCCCAGAACCCCGCAAGACTGGCATGCAATTCCGGAGATATCCTTGCACAAGGGGAACGACGGAACGAGACATGACTGGAGCTGAGTCATGACCTTCGGAAAGCTTGCAAATGCTCAGTCAGGCGAGCAAACATCTCAAAGGAACCTGCCTGCAAGACTCTTACATTGCAGCAGGACAGGTCATCCCATTTAAGCCGACATTAGTGGTAGTTAATCCTTAGCTGCTGTGCATCAACGCCACCAATCCACACTTTTGCACAGCCCTTCCAAGTTGGTGCACAGAAACACAGCAAGAGGCCTCCATGACCTTCTGCATTCGAAACTCCACTGCCTGCAGGCTGGAGGCGGATCGGTTGTGATCCTTAACTTGGTCTGCAGGGGCCGCCTTGCAGCCCTCCTCCAGGTTGCCAACAAGCTTCTTCCCCATTGACCTTACCTGGTGCAACAAGGCTGCTGTGACTTGCAACGCAGGTGTCAGGTGTCCGTTCCAGCCAGTGAAGTCATACGCGACACGTAAATTGATGCACAACATATCCAATACTCTATGACACAGGAAAAATTCAGGAAGGCTTTCGGACCCTCACCTGACGGATCTCTGACATCACGAAATCCTGCACAAGAGCACCGAGCCAAATAAGCCGCACCACCACTCACGAGACAGAGAGATGTCCTGCAGCTCGGAACTGATCGCGGGAGTCTCCTTGCTCGATCCCTGATAGAGAATCGAACCCAAGCGGCTTTTGAAAGCACTGTGTGAATAAACGGGTCACTATGTGCCTGCGTTGCAGCAGCTGCAGCACGATGAGTTACTGCTGCCAAGTCTCGGCCATGGGTCACATGTCAGTCTCCATACTCGCAGATCAGACATTCCGAGCTTGGCGCCGTCTAGGACTCTCGACACTTCTGCCCGAGCTCTCGCCAGCACCTACGCACTTAGGAAACTCAAGGTGCTCGCTTCGGCTCTCAATCCGCCAGCTGCCTGACTCTGCTGTCGAAGGCCACCTCTCATCCCTGTCAATGGCTCTTCGAAGGTTGCCAAAGTCCTGCATCACCAGGAGTTTGCAAGACGAATGACAAGCCTCTCATTCTGTGCTGCTGCAGCGGGGCTCCTCCTCAGAGAGTCTGAGACGTTCTGCTGTAGTTCCGACTTGTGAGCCTTCTGGGAGGCCTCCGCACAGGCCACTTGGCCCACGCGCCTTGAACTTAGCCATAGAGCCCGATGCCTGAAGTGACGTCACAGTTCTGCTCAAGGCAGCACTTTCCTCCTTCAGACGCTTCACTTCTGGTCCGAGTCTGCGCTGCGAAGGCACCGGCCTGCAGCTGTGCAATGGAGGACATCTGCACCTGCCATCGCCAGCAATGCAAACGAAGCACCTCAGGCTGTTGGACTGAAGTGGCCGACCTGCAGCTGCTCGCTGAGCTCGTTCATGTGCGTCCTCGTTTCCTCGAGAAGTGCCCTTGCCACCCTGAGTGTCCCAAGCAAAGTGACGCTCCTTCAGGCCATCGTCGACCGTTGGAGGAATTAGACCAGGCCTGGCAGACGCTGCGACTTCAAGGCTTGGGACAGAAGAACCTACTGGGGCCAGCGCGGCGCGCTGCAGAGCAAGCGAGCGAGTGCCGAGTCCGTCCTGCGACACACAAAGAGCCAAGAAATCAAATCATGAACCGGCACTCACTCGACTCAGCCGACTGACACTAGCTGAGCAACCGGTCCTCATCAGAACATCAAGCATTGGCTGGAGGCTTAGGCTTTGGCACCGCTCCACCTCAACATCTGCTAGTATCCCTGGAGTTTAGGTCAACGTGTTTTGCGCGCTTTCAGTTGGTGTACTCGGCTCTCCTGCAAATTGAAGTAAGCGGCAGCAGGGAGTGGAGGGCAAGACCCTGCGCGGTTCGGTTGTATGGTACGCTGGAATACCGAAAAGTGGTGGTGCGGCTGTTTCCAGCGATGGCAAGCGCTGTGGACGCTTTCACAGTAGAGACATGTGGCCACAAGCTCTCGGGTGCAAAGCTGTGAAGGGGCCGCCATCACTCTGTGCAGATGCAGGAAATCTGGCTGCACACCGACGGTACTGAGCATCACGCCCATGCTGCATTGTGCTCCCGCAGCCACTCAGCCTGCGGATGCTAGCGACACTGGGAACCTTCTCCAGCAGAGCGATGCATCTCGGCGACACACGCCTCACTCTCTGCGATGGCGAAGCTTTCGAGCTCGAAAGCCACAGCCTTGGAGTCGTGCAAAGCTCCCAGAGTACAGCTTAAGCAATGTCACCAACATCACATCTCAGCCCGCTTCCACTGGCTCTGCACTTTCATCAGCCTCAATGCAGGCAGGCAGTGCAAACGAATGAGCAGACAGACTGACGGTGAAAGACACAAATGACCGTGGCATGGTGTTGTGTGCCTGGGCCTTTCGGAATTGACAGGGAAGCAGGCTACGATGACTTCAGCGAATGTCAAGCTGCTCTACAATCTATCTGCAAAGCTGTTGGCTTTCGCAGACCGTTTCGTACGTCTTCTGTTGGCAGATCGTCTGCATGCAAAAGTGTGCTGCATGCAAACGTGTGCTCTCGTCGACAAACGGCTTGCCGTGACGGAGGATCCTCATGTGACACGGGAAGGAAGGTGGCGCATTGTGTTCATCCCCCTTTTCGGCTTCGGCACACAGACGGAGCACGACATGAACAACATGCACTGGGCACTGAGTTAAAGGCCGCACGCAGCGTCTGCTCCAAGGAAAGTTGCTCCTGACCCATGCACATGTGCGCAGACATCAAGTCCATCACAACATGTTGCGTCAAACGGGAGTCTGAAACTACAGCCGGTTGCTCGTACTGGTAGGACTTGGCAACCCGTCATAGACAGTACAGAGACATGCATCTGGAAACACATTTACGCACATTGCACACAAGCGCACAACATTCAGGCTCGTGTTTAGACTGCCAAGCTGGGCCCAAATATCGAAATGCTACATCTTTGGTTCAACAAGACCAAGACAGCAGGCTTGGCTTACATTGATGCGCACCTTTCACAGGTTTGCGGGCAAAATTTGCATAGCATATGGCCATATGGCGCTATGTGAAAGCATGAGTGCCGAGACGCTGCAGACTTGAACGGATGTTAAATGCTCACAGCAGTATTGTCGTTCTGGAAATGAAACGACTCATCGCCAGGATTTTTGACCAAAAAACAGGACCGAGTCGATGGCATGAGGGAAACACATTCAAGATGACTCGGTTTGGAAGTGGATGCACTTGAAGTGTTGCAACATCTTTGTGTATGAATAGGAACCAGTGTGATTTTCACATTACACAGCAGGCAAGCATTGCGAATAGAGGTCTCCGGGGTGCCAAAACGTTTGACATACGTATGTATGTGTGTATACATACATATATATATATATATATATAGAGAGAGAGAGAATAAAGAATATACATGTACATAATATGTATAAGATACATGAGATACATCTTCCTTACACATATACACACATAGTGCCTGCGTACAAATAAAACCAGATAAATGCGATCTGCATATACGAAAACACACTCTTCAAGCGACTCGACCGGAATATGACCCCAGCACTAAGCCAAAGCCAGCCAGTTTAGTTCTCCGGAGCCGGTTCGGACCGTTCTCTCCACTCCCACACCAGTCGGGTAGTCGGCCCGTTTTTCCACACAGGGAACGGGTAGCGGCAGAACCCTTGCATGTGTAAACTTCCTCCTGACCTGCACACATGGTTCGCATTCCCCAAGGCACAGCGGTCTTCTGGCGAGTGTTCCAGGACTCTGGGTTGAATTTTCTCTGACAAGCTTCCTGGCTGCTCTGCCTCTCATACCGAACAATGGCTGAACCAGTACAAGCACCCGCGTTTCCATTTCATCCCCCGAGGCCATCCGCGCCCACACCCACCCTCACTTTCAAGGTCACCCACCTGCCCACGCAACCGACATACGCACTCACAGACGGACAGAGATAGCATTAGCACGCGACTGCATGCGACACATGCAGCAGACTCCTTTTCCACAGTCTCCAAGGAACCTCACGAAAGGCATTCAAAAGGAATTAGATCTGGCACAGAGAAGCCTTGCACGACACTTCTGGCAAGTTTTTACCAGATGCTTATCCTCTACACGGGTCCACTCAACAAGCGCGATGTTTCACATACTATCTTGAGACTGGCATGGACGGCACTACTTCGACCTGCGCAAGGAATACTCCTTCTCCTGGGCATGTGGGCACCAGTCGTGGGGCGCCACATAATCAATTGGAGAGCTTCGCGCTCAGAACCGATCCGAGCTGAAAATTGGAGAACTGAACTCTCACTTTGAATCCACCCGAATTGCAAGGCCCGACCCGGCAAAAAAACTGTATCAGATAAGTGCTGCATAGCCCACGGACATCACTTATCTGCCATGCGACGTTTTATGGTGTCGAACTCGTCTAGCACCTGTGCCTGCGCAGGAAAGCAACAGCAGCGGAGGGCTATCGGCCGAAAATGTCCCGGCCGACAAGACGGAGACGTGCTCGGAGTTGAGAGCCTTGGAGTCCTGCTTTAAGGACCAGAGCAGTCAGCAGGTAAAAAAGAGGGGGGCAACTCGAGATGGGACCATGGTCCAGTCCTTGTCACCAGGCTGGGCTTTGGCCTTCTTTGACTTTGGCCTACACGGAAGGTCAAGACTTTGGGCAACTACCAACCCGCTCACCGAGATCATAAAGAAGCTTCCTTTCGCCGTGTAGGGAGCCGGCTCTTTCAGCTGATGCTTCAGCTGAGTCTGCACAGGGTAGCGAATGCCGAGACACGAAGCACAGCCTGCACACTTGCTTGCCGGGGGCCTCCAAACCGTCCACTGCCAGCAGAACGCCCTTGACCTGGTCGTTTCGTCTCGTCGGCAGAAGACTGCGCTTGAGAATGCTGAGACGAACATGAGACACCCATCATGCTTCGTGGCGCTGATCGAACAAAAATTCGGGTTGTCCTAGATGGGTGCATGGACCGCCACTCGAAACAAGAGTTGGCCCAGCCAAAAAACACAACTCACAGCGACAGCGGTCCCGGTTTCGCAAGTACGCCGATTCTCGGCAAATTCAGCCACATGGTCGAGTCTACGCTCTACGGCCGTGCGGTCTCTGAGCTCTCTTCAGGCTTCAGGGGCGAGCATCACCCAGCATCGGGACAACATCCGGGTAAGCCAGGAAACTCCATGGCAGCCCTCCAAGAAGCAAAGCACACCGCGAAGCAAAACTGCCCATCCTGGAGTCCGCTGCATACTAGTCCCCATCCTCTCATCCTCCCCCCTTCTTGGCAAAGCATTCGCCGGGCTCTTTTCCACGGATTTGGCCTAGCCTTCCCAGCTTGAAGCTCATGGTGCCGCCAGGCAGCATCGCTGCCCCAGCTCTCAATACGTCCAATTTCTTCCGTGAGCGATGCCTCCAAAGCTGCGATCTGAAATTGCACACATGCGGTCGAAAGCAATTGCGGTGGCCACCTGTAGAGCTTGTTGGATCTTCAGCCGGTGCTCGGCCTCCCAATCCCAAGCCGAGTCCCGCTTGACACCCCAGCGTGCTTTGCGCTTTGCCTGCTTCTCCTGGAGCTTTTGGAGAATCAGGTCGCCCATGGACTCACCCTGCAGGAGAAGCCGGCAAAGCAGGGCAACGCAGGGGGCGGGCGATTTTCGCCACATGCGGCGCCACCTGGAGCTCCCGGTAGAGGCGTTCTTCTTCGTCCAGCTGCGGCGAGCCTACCAATACTTCCATGTGCACAACCGAGGCGCTCACATGCAAAGCGACCTGACGTCGGCACCTGACTTTCAGGCAAGAAAGAGCCGTGATGTGTTCCAAAGCGAGTGCAACAAGCCGGCATCACCGTTTGCTTGGTCTGGCCCTGCTGAACCTTGGAGCTCACTTAATATGCAAGAGGCGCCGGATATTCCCATTCCGCAAGAGCAATTTCAGTTATGGTACTGAGATACTGGCTCGTTTCATGTCTTTGCGTGCTTGCGTCAAAGCCTGCCGGTCGTGGATCATATAACCGGCCCACCAGTGAGGCTGGGGGGAAGAGCAGTCGTGGCACCTCCTCCATCTGCTTGTAACCTTCACTCAAGCGACGGACCTGGACAGGGTGGGCACCGCCTCACTGCTCATTTGCCCTTTTGCCTCGTGTGTGGCCCGCCCACGCCCTGTCCTGCCCTGCCTGCTCTGCAAGCTTGTGGTTCCTAGCGGCTCGAGTTGATCGTTGATCTCTGCTACCGACTGCATCTTGCGGACCAGGAGCTCACTGGTCAAGCGAAGAATGGTCTCTTCCTTTCCTCTTTCCTGCAATTTGCACCAAGCTCTTGATCGGCACGGCGGGTCAGAACAAGAATGCTGAAAGCACTTTGCTAAGCTCTGCTCCATTTGCAGAAAGAAGGAATTATCAACCGGAGCTGACCTTATGTTTGGAAACCCACTCAGTCCAATATCATGAAGTTGCACAGCACTGATCGTGAGCAGATTCTCTGAGACGGGTGCTGCGGCGCCTTTGGCGGTGGTGTTGACTCCGGCACCTCACCGAGAGAGCAGAGTACACGACGTTTTTCGACTTCTGGCACAATGCTGCCTTTGCCACCACATCTTCAGCCTCCTTCAAACGCTCAGTCAGAGCCTGCCGGAAGGTGCCCAGTTCACCACCTGCCCAGTCCCACAATGTGCAGGCCGTTTCCTGGTTCTCGTCATCCAAGGCCTGGAGGTAACAATGTTCCCACATCTGACACTGGTACCATCCTTGCAAGAGCATGACAACTGGCCTCACAGGAATTGAGCAGGGAGCGATTTCTCGCTACCAAATCCTTCGGCTTTCGGATGTCGTATTGAATCCCTAGTGACACGGGTGCAAGTGCGCTTCAGGAAACACACACACACACACACACACACACATCTAATATCTAATTTTCCAGCTCCTCTCTACGCATTGGAGTCTAGATTCCAGAGCTGCTGTGAAACAGTACTCCTTCTGTTTGTCGGAGACTGTACTGCAAAAAGGTGCGAATTAGCTTCAGGCATGGGACCCTTCGTCCTCGCCTGCGTGGCAGAAAACAGGACGGCATCTGAGCCCTGCTTCTGCTGGAGTGGGTTGGGCCCACACATTCACAACATCAGGAGCATGTCTATCAACCCAGGCAAACCCACTCCAGTGAAATCTGTGCATACGACGATCACTTCTCTGCAGCTACCACCGGCATCACCAGCCACAAGAACCTCAGGACATGTCACCAGTCCGTGTCTCGGGATGCAAAGCAGTCGAGGCTTCTCTAGGAGAACACTCTTGGCCGCGGGACACATGCTCTTGGTGTCACCAGCCCCTTCGAGCTTCACCTCGTGAGCTCCCTGTGCAGGAATTTGCCAAGGTTCCCCACTCAGTCTAAGATGCAGTGATGGCCTTGTCGTCCACTACCTCGCTAGGCTTGTCCTGCGGTGGATTCTTAATTCAAAAAGATGCAAGATTGACTGTGCGAAACCTGGAAGCCGCTAAGCCTCTTCTTGCAAGCCCCCTTTTTTGGAGAAACCCGGGTCCGTTCGCTTCAAGGCTGCGAGTTCAGTCCACTCGGCTTTACCATCATCGTACTTCCTGGGATCTGGCCGTCATGACTTCAGGCACACACTACAGTCACTAAAGCCGCTGCGGCCAAGATGCACGAGTGCTTCCTTACAGTTGCAGCAAGCATCAACATGTGTTCAGAACTCTGAATAGCGAAATGGCCAATGGATGCCCGTGTCAACGAATCTTGCAAGAAAGGAACAGTGGCTTTCTGCTCTAGGACCTTTCCACTCATACCACTGCGAATGTTGGTCACCTGTCGGAGTCAGGGCCGGCGCTGCCCGCTTTGGATCTTTTTGCCGATTCTCATGAAGCTGAGTAGTGCACTTCGGCGCCGATCTGCAAATCCAGGGCTTCCGCAGGAGTCTGGTCCTGGAGCAGATTCAACCCATGAGCCGCAGCTAGTGCATATCTGGAGAAAGGAAGGGCACACCAGAAACATTCCATCGTCGTGGTGCGCGTCGTCGTGGTGCGCGTCGTCAGGGCGCATGCGTTTGCAAGGGGCAGGGGCGAGAGTGAGGTGGGGCACCGAGGATCGTCGCCGGCCCTCTCTGTCACCATCGGGGTCGACGTCGTTCCTCCTCCTCCTCCTCTTGGTACTAGTTTTGGTCGTGCTAACATCCTTGTCCGTCGTTGGACCATGAGTATAGTTGCTGCTACATCTTGTACTATGGTAGGGAAGCTATGCATCTTACTGTATCTCCTGCTGCGGCATCGTCTCTTCATCTTGGAGGCAAACACCACTCGTGAGCCACACTAGTCCATAAGTTGACCCTAAAATCTCCCTGTTTTTGAGTTTGCTGCGACACGCAAGTTCGAACAAAGGCTTGTCTGAGACGCAAGCAGGATTGAAGATTGAGTGCAAGCTCAGGCAAGGGTATGGATGTGGGCAGGACGGCGGCTGTTCACTACAGTGGCGCAGCAGCCATGAAAATGCGACTCTGGACTTTGGGGTTTCACCCGATGAACCTTTCAGAGCTTCCTAGCTGAAGTCCGGCACTGGCAGGCGCTCTACGGAAGAAAAGCCACGGTCCCCGTAGCCCACCATCTCTGCAGCAGCAGCCATCACCTCCACGGCAGGAATTTCAAACTACCGTGTCGCTTCTGAGGTCTTGACTCCCTCACTTTCAGGCTGAACCCACCCGAGCAGTGCCTTCTCCGCAGCAGCTTGAACCTGGCTACTGGGAGTGGTAGTGGAGCCGACTCTGCATCTCAAGCTCGACACAGAAGGCCAGCCTGCTCTGCCACGGTGGCCTGTGCGGGCCACGAATCAGCTGCATTGCAGCTTCGTTTACTTTGGAAACCTCCCCGGTCCCGTCCTGTTCCTCTGCCTTGGGCTCGGCGGGCTTCTCCTCCCGAAACCAGACATGCCGGACTTGCCCACATCACGCTCGGCCATGCCACAGCCTCCGGTTTGGGCTCTTCCTTGACAGGCTCAGGTTCCTTCTTCGGCGCGGCCTCGTCAGGTCCAGACGAGTTCTTGCTTCAAAGACCCAAATCTTTGAATCCCTCAATTTATTCAATGTGTCGGATGCCTGGGGCTGAGCGGTCTCTGCCTTGCTACCTCCACAACCCATCCTTGTCGCGAGTCGCAAGCACGGTGTCAGCTTGCCGCCGGCCACGCAAGACTGCCAGTCGCGCAACTGCCTTCCGAGACTCTTGAATGGCAAGACGTGAGCACGGTGCTCGCGGCAAGGGTGGCCGGATTTGATCCAGGTACAGCTGCAGAAGAGATGCGAGCACTGCACTGCAGATGCAGCACTACTTTAAATACCTTCTGCATCTGAGCAAGTAACTCACTTCGTCACTTCGGACCTGCACGGCCTTCTCCTTGGCCCGTAAACTCTTCATGAGCTTGTCCGCCTCATGAGAGAAGCTTGCAAGCCGACATGCCGCTTCAGAAAATGAGGATGTATGGCTACGTTGTGTTACCCGGCCTTCTCCGACGGGAGATGATGCAGCAGCTCCAGTGCCAGGTAGTCAACCTCCGACAGAGTGTGTGAAGCTTGGAAGGAGACTACACACCTGTCCTCCACCCTCACGGCCTCCTCATCTTCGGCGAAATCCGATGGATTTGAGATTGCGGAGTGCCTGACGCTTCAGAAGTGGTCTACTAACCCGCTGTAGGATAAAATCTGGGGTATCCACACAGAGAGATTCTCGTCATCCTGGCACCGACAGCAACGGCTGTGGCTTATGATGCTCAGAAGTCCAATCTGCAGCACCATGCAGCACCTACATTCCTACATGTTGCATGAGGCACAGCAAGAGAAATACTGCGGGCTGACCGAATCCATCATCTGATGGTTTATCTCGGCCTTGATGGCTGTGCTGAAAAAGGTGTCTTGCAGACTTTCTTGCGCTCGACAACGGAGCTTGAGACATCTAAGCGCAGCACCATGATGACAATGCTGGCTCTGAGCTTCAGGGGGCGAGGAATCAGCTTTGCATATCTACCGACCGGCAGAGAAGACAGGCGTGCCGTATAAACTTGTAGCTCGTCGAGTACATTGCAAACTGTAGCTTGAGATGCCGGAGCTGGGTGACAATGAATGAACCTAGCTTGAGTTGCGTTCAGCCTTTGCTGCGAGGAGTCTTGCTAACACAGACCGGGGAACCAACAGCGTTGGGTCGTGCTCATGCTATTTCGCATCATAAGCTCTCATGCAAATGATTCACCCTCGATCTGCGAACACACGGCACCCGGCGGAAATGAAGATCTTAGGATAAGAGAGATGCTGCCCAAACGATCTCATCACAGAAGGGCAATGCACACATCGTTTTGCCCCTGAAGGCAAAGTCGTCGAACTACAGCCTTTGGGGAGGTTGATGTTTGCTTCTGGGAAGGGGAGCTCTTTCTGCATGTTCGGCTGTATTTGAATTGCTTTCCTTGTTGATCAGAGCTCGTGGCGCTTCAGCGGATGGCCCTCAGTATTGAAGAAGTACGTGTCCATGTCGAACGCTGCCTGGGCTTGAAAGCTCAGACGTTCACGGACAAGAGGCTCAACGACAAAGGCGAGCGATAGTCCTCTCCTCTCAGTAAGTGCTGGCAGGGATGCTCAGTTTATGCTGCAGATGCATCCTTCATTGAATTGAACTGACGACTTCGCGTACACGGCCCGTGATGCTAAGCTTGCTAGTGGCTCGATCTGACTGCTCCGGAACCGTACGAGTACGAGTACTACTCGGTAGTTGTCTTACACCTTCAAGCCACCGAGGCCTGAACCCAACTGTAAAGCCAGTCAAGTCAACACTTTTCCGATGTTCAGAATTACGGGTTTAGGCGATTTAGGATTGGACTCACTGTCCCAAACCATTCCAACCCTTTCATCTCGGCCACCAAGTGTGTGCTGCTGTGAAGCGGTAACATCAAACGATCTCGTACTTCCAGGCTAATGCTGTCAGACAGACCAGCACATCCGCACGTGGCAGAAACACATACCTTGTCGTTTTCATGGTCTGGCAGAGTACCTGAGCCTCGACGTTCCGGTGACTCCGGGCACGAAGCAGGGCACAGCTGCCGAATACTCGGAAAACATCCGAACCCAAACACAGGAAGCATGTCGTCTAAAAGCCGAAAGCTGCACATCTGAATGGTTTCTTTCTGCAGGTGCATCATGTCCGAGTGCATCATGCCCGAATGTTCGGTAGAAGTGAACTGATGTGTCCCATGACTCCCGTTGAGTATGGTTTCAGCATGAACAATCTTTGCCCAGGCCGTTCTGGCTGAATACGTTTCTCAACAAGATTTTGTATTTGTTGATGCCAACCATTCTCACTTGACTTGACCAAGGCCTGTTCAGAAGGGCCTACGGATGACGAAGAAACACCACAAGGTCAGGCATTCTCCCGCTTGCCATCCTTGAGTTCGCTCCCTCCCTCTGCAGCTTCACAAGGCGGAGTTGCTCCAGCAATGCCTGGATGAGGCCTGACCACTAATCTTCAGCAAAGCTCGTAGACAATCGCGTCCACATACTCCATTGAAACACTTTCATGTTTGGATCATCGGTCATACTAAGAACAATCAAGAATTGCACAACCTTCCTCCGGGGGCTCACCTGTCGTCGTCCGAGGTTGGGCCCCTTTGCTCAAAATCTGTCTCTCAATGTCCGAGTTTGTTTCCGACCTTTGCAGAGCTTCGCTGAATTGGCTCAAATGCATCTGTGCTGGAGCTTGGTGGCCTACTGCGCACGATGCTACTCCTCTCACGGCCATGTGTTCAAAAACCGGTACACAAATGTCTGGATTGCAGCACCGTCCAGCACTTCCGAGTGGCTGCTGGGGAGAAGAGGAGGAAAAGATATTTGAAGGTTTCCTTGATATCACGATGAACTCAGGCCAAGGTCATAAAGTTTCCAGTTTACTCGGAATGCTTCTTGCTAAGCTTGACGCGGACATTACGAAGGTCTGCATCTCGTCCATCTTTGATGTCGGGATGGCCTTGAAATGAGGGCTGTGCGATGTTACGGCATGTGTTGGCATGATTTGCATGCTGCGAACTCTACAAGTTTTGCGTAATGGACAAGGCTGTCACCGCTCTGCGGTTGACCAAAAAGTGCATACACAGTAGCTGAGGCATGACAGCTCGCTTCAACTGCCGCAAAACGTGGCCCGGTGACATGGACAGGTCATATGTCTGCAAGCAAAGAGCCTTCACGTCACGTACGGATGCAAAGCCATTCGGAACCTGCCAGTCACAAGCCACAGATGTGGTGGTTGACCAAGGGCTCTGGGATGTCGCAGAATTCGGAACGCCTTCGCATTGTCCAGAATGGCATTAAAGATTTTCTCGCCCCACCTGCGATACCTCGGCTGAGGATTCACGCGCAGTATGCCTGTAGTGCCTCTGCAGCAACTTGAGCCATGCCGGACGCACTTTTCATCACCAGTCAGCCTGTAGAGGTAGAACAAAGACTCTGCCTCATCCATCGTCCGGCTGAATTCCAACTCGCTTGCTGAGGGCTGTCTAAGAAACTAAGAAACTTCATCTGCACATGGATTTTGCGCCGTAAGTCGCCGGCCGTCTCCGGCCGCAGAAACGAATGCCTCCCATCTGAAGCTGCCTGTCACTTGACACATTTGGACAAGTCCACGACTCGGGCATACTCATGAATGCGAACCTCGATGAAATCGTGAGGTGGCTTTGCACTGACCTTGCCGTCGAGGCAGTGCAATGCTTGGACTGTTGCCAAACTGTTTAACCCAAAGGCTTTGACTATCGGTGGGAGAACATGGGAGCACTCGCTTGGACATTGGCCTTGCTGAACTCCGGAGCCAGCCCGGAGGGACTGGAGATCCAGAGCTCCACGCAGGAAGCCGTGAGGCCTTCCGCTAGGTGCCACCACCTGCCAGAACACAGCACACTTCGCCTGCACATCTGCACACACGACCCCGACAATAGGCTTGGCAGACGTGGTGTTTCGGCTGGCCACATCTTGCGCGGGCAATTCCATGAGCCTGCGGCTAGATTCAGCAACACGCGCAGGAAAGCCAGCACATGGCTCAGCACCCAGCCCAAGTGCTATCAGTGCTGGTGCAAAGCAACTCAAGTGATCCTGCGTGGGTGCATGGACAAGCACCAGCCGCACTCATCAGACACTCACGGGACAGCATGAAGGTCCATCTTCCAGACGACATTGCCGTCGGCTGCAATCTCAATCAACTTGAAGCGGGTAATACCTGCCTGTCAGTCCGCATCAGGCCACTCGTCAAGTTCAGACACCTCGACGAGAGACTCCCATCAGATCCCATGCCTCTGCCGATTTGACCTCGACGGAGATCGAGTCTTTTTGCAGACATGACTAGCCGGACAGACTCGTCACGAAGGAGGCGACGGAAGCAGGCAGCGGGCGGACAATGCTGGGCAATGCATCCATCACCTCCAGGAAAATCTCCTGCAAAGTTATTCGAGCATCTGCCTGCTGCACATGCGCAATTTCTCCAAAACACTGATGTCCAGCCCTGTCCTTGAAGCGCGTCTCAGACGGGCTCTGAAGCCATTGCTTCAGCAGGTACCTGCTATTGACAGCATGCAACTGAGAATCTGTATTTTTTGGGTTGAGGGGCGGCTTGCCCTTTCAAGCTCGGGCCTGAACCAGAAGATGTCCAACATCGCCAAAGAAAAAAAGCGAATGACGGAAGCGCTGGCAGAATTGGCTCAGGGGCAAACGAGTCACCCGGATGAAAGCTGCATGTGTTAACATGTTAACTCAGTGATGCACATCTCTCACATCACAACTACTACTCCAGCATGCTTGCAAACAAGCGACGTCTATTTAAGGTTACTCAATTTATCAATTCGTCTCCTTGTTCCCGCATCGCCCTGACACGTAGTCTGCAAGCAAAGGGTGATCTCAAGCCCAGAGCTTTGGCAGCTTGCGCTTCCACGACGGTGGTCGAAGCATTGCAAGAATCATCGCATGAGCCGGGCCCACAATACAATCATTAAGGTCGAGACCCCATGCAAGCAAAGCACAACATGACATAAGCGCACTCGTAATAAGAGTCTGCCAGTGCCCCGAACGCGAACTTGGAGGCAACGGCCTGCCAGCTTCATGTTTGGAGGAGCGGCTGCAACAAGCCAGCACATGCCAGCACCTGAACTGGCATCATGCTTGGAGGAGACAAGAAGACGGGAAGTATGCCGCGCATCCCTGTGGATTGGATGGCCTCATCAGGAAGCGAAAGCTGTATCCAGTGAAGGCTCCCAAAACCTCCGATTGCGCCTGGAAGGCCTGGTCCGCAGCACCTTTGAATCGAGCATCTCCTGTCCTGCAAGGCAACGGGCAACGGGCGGGGAAATCAGAACCACCCGGACCCGGTCACAACTCATTCAACTACCATGGTCCTGGCTGCCAGGCTGCGAAATTCGACCTGAACACTGCCAGCCTCGCACTCCATGCTGTGCTTCTGTGCACACCAGAGCCCTTCAACGAGACAGTTGCACCTCGGACAGGATAATCGGCTGAGTGCTGGCTTTGCTGGTTCCACGAGCAAGATTGACGGTAGGCAAAGGTATCCTGGCATCATTCGTCAACATCTGCGAGACGGCCAACACCAGACGAGTGCTGCACGGGAGAGCTCTTTTCTTGCACCCACGACATTCCGCCCAACCTTGAATTCGTCTTGAATGCGGGCAGCAGGCGATTGCCGAGCTCTTTCGCACGCTCCAGGAGAATCTGGCACAGATTCACATTGATTGCTCTTCACGGGCAGCAAGAAAGAAGTCTTATCATGACGGCCTCTTTGCCTGACAGCGTGTGTGCACCGAGAAGACCGCCAAGCCTCACTTCTGCACAGC